AGGCCCTGGAGAAGAAGACGGCCACCTTCGAGAACATCGTCTGCGTGCTGAACCGGGAGGTGGAGCGGGTGGCCATGACCGCCGAGGCCTGTGGCCGGCAGCACCGGCTGGACCAGGACAGGATTAAAGCCCTGAGTAACAAGGTGTGTGCCCGGGGCCAGGGCTGTGCTCAGCCAGGACTTCGGGGACAGCGCCTCCATCTCCAGCGCGGCCTCGGCCTCTGCAGAGCCCCTTCCTGACCTGTTCCCTGCTGACCGACGCGGGGCAGAGGGGCCATGGACGTGCCCCCACTCTGTCTGGACAGCCTCCCACTTGGGGCCGGGCACCAGGGGCTCGTGGGGCCGGAGCTGGACTGAGAGGCTGGCCCAGGGCAGCCTCAGGAGCACGGGAGCTGGGGAGGTGGGCGTGGTGACTTCACAGCACCTTCCTGGGAGGTGGGAGTGGGCCCCCGGGAACGGGGACAGGCCCACGGTCCTCACGTCCGCCTGGCTCCCCGCCTCCAGGTGCAGCAGCTGGAGAGGAGCATCGGCCTGAAGGACCTGGCAATGGCCGACCTGGAGCAGAAGGTGCATGAGATGGAGGCGTCCACCTTCGACGGCGTGTTCGTCTGGAAGATCTCCGACTTCACCAGGAAGCGCCAGGAGGCCGTGGCCGGCCGCACCCCTGCCATCTTCTCGCCAGGTGCCGTCTGGAACCTGCGTCCCCGTGTCCCCATCCTCCCCCCTCGACCCCCCCTGAGTCTCTCCCGTCCACTGAGGCCGGGAGCCGCTGTGCGTCCCTGAGAGCCGGTGTCAGTGACCAGCCCGCTGCTCTCATGCCCCTGGAGCGCAGTGTGTGGGGAGGCGACGTCTGTCCTCTGTCTGTCCCCAGGGAGGCGGCGGGCGGGCCTTGCCCCTACCTCACCCCTACTCACCCCCCAACCCCGCAGCCTTCTACACCAGCAGGTACGGCTACAAGATGTGCCTGCGCGTGTACCTGAACGGGGACGGCACGGGGCGCGGCACACACCTGTCTCTCTTCTTTGTGGTGATGAAGGGCCCCCATGACGCCCTCCTGCGCTGGCCCTTCAACCAAAAGGTACGCAAGCTGCCCTGCGGCTGCCGGGGGCCCGGGGCCTGCGGGGCG